AAGTATACAGACGTTTTAATGAGAAATAAAATAATATTTTGTTAAATGGGAGAATGCTAGCGAAAATAATTTGGTTTTTATCGAAGGTAAATTTAGCTAGGGCCTAGCCAGCTACTACTATTGCGGTAGACCACGCTGCTGCACTGTCGGTTGGTTCGTACTACCAGGTACTACCTGGTCACCTATATATCAATGGCAGAGGATAGCTAGGCTAGGTAGTGGAAACTGACACCTGTCACAGTAGTTTAGTACTACAGGTTCGTAAAATACAGTTAGACGTTATTAAACAAGCCTTTCCACGCTTGTAACGTTGACGGTCTCGAAGCTGGCTGGCTGTTTATCTGGCTCTAACTTGGCATCGAACGCAACTAGGAATAGATCGTAGTGGCTTAACTTCGACGTGAACAGGCTTATGTCTGTGATAGGAACTCTAATTGTATCTTATATAGCTTTCCGTTGGCTAGCTGTTTGTAAAACTAAAATGATCATTTTCTTTAATTAATCTATTTATTGTTATTATTACTATTAGATTGTTAAAGTCAGACTCCGGAGGGGAAAAAATTATATTTTGTAGAACTGATTTTTCTAAGACAGAAAAAAGTTGTTTGACGAAAAACTGGGGACCGGTGAACGAGATCAGAGTTTTGAATATTTAAAAACTGTGGGAAAAAGGGGCGTAACTGCCTATTTTTACAACCTTTTTCCCCCAATTTTTAAATATTAAAAAATCTGTATCTCATTCACCGTTGCTCAGTTTTTGATCAAACTACTTTTTTCTGTCTTAGAAAAATCAGTTCTACACCATATCATTTTTTTTTCCTCCGGAGCCTGACATTAAAACAGCACATGTTTTCTGCTAAAATCAATTTACTTTATAACACCATTGTACGAACATAGGTACTTGTTTCCGAAGGTCTAATCATGGCTACTTAAAAAAAAAACACCACTGCACTAAGAAAATTAGTTTCTTTTGACATATATGCCCAAGGTAGGCTTAACTGTATTTTTCATTAAATATCAAATGACATTGCTCTATTTTAGGCGTAGGCCTAGAAGGCAAATAATAAATGTTTTTTATTCGTGCAATGGTAAGAAATATTTTCATTTGTGAGAGTTCAATTGTTATATTCAACTCGGCCCCGCCTCATTGCAACTCTTAAAACATATTCCCAGTGCACTCCTAATTTGTATAACAATAATATTGGCCGTATTCGACTGGTCGATCTTCGTTAGGCCACGCCCACCTGCGCAGTGGTAAAATCCTACTTAACGAGGACGACCAGTCGAATAGAAAACTGGTAAATACTCCACAAAACAAAATGGCTGCATAGTAACCGCGTAATCAAGGTTACTTCGGCTTGTTTTTTCATCCAGTTTATGAATTCTGTTAGCCTACAATTCTTTTTTTGTTTCAGGTGGGTGAATATTATAATTTTTATTTTCTGAAATTTAATCTAAATTGTATTAACGCTAAACTGACCAATCGGCCATGTTTGTTTTGGTCACGTGGATAACGCTGATTAACGCACTCTGGTTTACGTTAATTTTCGTTGTCAACGAAGACTATTTTACCAGGGAACAGTTAAATTACAGTAATTTCACTGTTCCCTGATTTTACGAACAGTCGAATGAAACAAACAATCATAGTCAACAAAATAAATCAGTCGAATAAGCCCATTATCAATTGTTACTGAGATTCTAAAATACAACCTTGAAACATTTTATGAAGAGGCATGGCACAGCTGGTTTCGTGTAATTTCTCCGGTAATTTTTGACCTCTTGAAAATCATCTTTTCTACAGAGTGTCGGTTTTTTTGTAACTTTCTTGTTAATGTGTTCATTTGCTGTATACATTTTTTAAAAATTACCTGGTATCGACCCGTCATAAGCTGTGATCTAGTCGGCGAACAGATTGGCTGGACATAGTAGTTTTCTAACTTCACCCCTTCAGCTGCCAATTTGTCAATTATTGGAGTGTCAAACAACGACCCATGGTAGCCGACATCTCTGTACCCTTGATCATCTGTCAAGATGAAAATAACGTTAGGTTGACTCTCCTTAGAATAGTCAGACTGAGAATTAGACCACTTCGATTTAGCCTGGATGAGGTAAGGACTTAAACAGACCATTAGTAAAAGCACGGGTACTCTTACTGATGACATCTTTACAGGACAAACTCTAGATTAGAAGTGATAAAATGTTTTAGAAATTGCAGCTTTAGTACACAAGGGCGTCGGATTTACTGATGTGATCTCTATTGTATGGCAGGGTCCGAATTGATCAAACAGAATTCTAAAGCACGATGTACGACACTTTGTGTATGCCTGGTCGAGTGTGCAGACTTTCATGGCTTTATTCAGAAATTCAAAAATATTTTGAAATTCGGGTATGAGTAGGCACGGATCCAGATCTTCGCACCCTTCGTAATGGCGAAGGTCACAATGAGAAATAAATTAAAAATATAAAAGTGATTGCAACTGAATAACGATGGGACTGTAACTAATCGGCAGCAATCTACACTGTAAAAAATATGTACTTCAACTGATGATTTTGTAAACATACAGTAGAAGTCGTATGTAGCTGAACAAAGTTAGCTTTGTAATAGTCAGTTATGTTATGTTACAAAAGATTCTGTAGTAATACAAACAAATCGCTTGTAATGCGACAGATACATACTGTTACAGTAGTTTTGTGTATACTTCTGTTGTGCAACAAAATGATTCTGTAAACATACAGTGGAAGTCGTATGTAACTGCACACAGTTAGCATTGTAACAGTTAGTTATGTTTGGTTACAAAAGATTCTGTAGCAGTACAAATAATTAATTATCATTAGGCCTCATTAATTAATTATTTATTCATATATTTAATTATTTGTATTGTCATTGGTATCATCCTCCATGTGGTAGTGATATGTCATTCCAGGTTTCCGACCCCCCTCCCCACACCCGGCGGAGTGAATTGACATCATTATATGCCCTGCCGTCATTGGCCACTCCTTTAACCTTACGAAACTGACCAATGGAAACCTAGGATCGACATTCAAATTCATTTAGACTTGCCACAAGTCTCTTATTTTTTTTAATTATTTTTCTCATTCTGGACAGCGCCACCAACGACTTGCCACAAGTCTCTTATTTTTTTTAATTATTTTTCTCATTCTGGACAGCGCCACCAACGAGAAAGTTAATTTAGAGATAGACGGAATAAGCGACTTGTAAAACACCGAATGCAGGCGCCAGGATGCCAAAAGAATGACGTAATCTTATATACCGTATTTGGATAAATGGGCGAACCGAAATAAACAATTTCAACCAATCAAATGTTCATATTTTCGGAGCCACGAAACTGAGTCACTCGCGTCGACTAGTTAGGCATGACTAAATTTAAATAGTCCTCCCTAATAAAATGGGCCTAAAATATTTAGAATTAAGACCCTAGTAAGACTAATTTTGGCAATGGCAAAAACAATTAAGCTTAGACTAGATGGCATACCATACAAATACAACAAAACTTTCCATGAGGATGGATCAGGCCGGCCTCGCCTGGAGTCAGGCGTAGGCCTAGCCTAGACTAGTAGAGGCTTGGCGTATTTTTAAGTTCTTACTACCTTTTTAACAATATTCTACCCTAAAGACCTAAATCTGTGTAGCAGCTAGCGGGGAGCAAGGGTCCTATAGCCTACGGTTATCAGTCCATGTCGTTCTCAGCAGGCCAGAACTATACTAACTGTTTTAATTCAAGTATAGGTAGCCAAAAAAGAGCTGGTTCTTGTTCTAGTCGAGACATCCGCATCTTCAATTTTGAAAGTTTACCATGATTGATTAATATGCATGAAGTTAGCCAGTCACGTGATTTCCAAAATCAGTCATGTATACGATATCCCACATCAAATTTGATGTGGGAAATCGTACGCATGAATCGTTTGCCCAGGCCCTAATTCGAAAAAAAGAAATCGAGTATGGGACGCCAATTAAATTAGGTATGGCGCGCACTAAGTGCAATAAAGTGTGAGTAACCTAAAATTAGGGCCTGGAGCCCAGGCTAAAATTCATTGTGTGTACCAGGTACCAGTGGAGTCTACCAATGTTTGACAAATATCTGTGATTTTAAGGTACAAAATACAACAATAATAGCTGGTTTGCTCACTGATAACTAAAAAGCAAGGATAATTCATTGATGCAAGACTTACGCCCGTATTCTTAAAACAAACTTCAGTCGAACTTCGAACTAGAACTTCATTTAGTGCTAGTTTCAACTTCAACCTCAATTTGTATTCACAAACAACGTAGTCGAAGTTTTAACTACGACTAAATCAAGTCCTAGTTTTAGTTCAACTGAAGACGACTGGCAAGCAACAACTATCAAACTAACCAATGAAAAGAGCTAATTTTAATAGCAGACGAAATTTTAGCGATCCGGTAATGCTGGTGAATATTAAGCTGTCGTCTGTGGTTCAAAAACGTATTTCCTCATAATTCATAATAGATCATCATTTGCTTAATATAATTTTCTATAATAATAACTATATTAGTTGTTAACATATTACGATAGAGAATTTGAACAGTCACTGAAAATTTGCTTTCTTTGGAGAACTGTTATAGGTGAGCCTGAGCGAGGGCGGCGCCATCTTTGTTGTTGTTGTTATAGCGAAGCTACGTGACTGCAGCGCGAGGGAATTTCGTGCAAATCAGGAACTATCGCATGTGGCTGGAAGAAACATGTTAATTTCTCCTTTTAGAAGCTGAATTTGATGTCTCTTTTGTTTAACACACCGAAGATATATCAAACCTGCGTATACAATCGTTTTTCTTCCTTTCACTTTATCGTGAGTTACAAAAACATATTTTTATTTGGGTAAATATTTCAAGTCGGCGATTTAGGCTGACTAAAAAATCGGCCTGCGGAGGTATCATTTTAGTCGAGGTTCACGTCATTTAGTCGTAGTGCTAGTCGAAGTTCGTTTTAAGAATACGAAATGACGTAATTTCAAAGTTTTAGCTCGAACTACGACTAAAGTTCGTTTTAAGAATACCGGGGTGAGTAAAAAATTGTTGAGCCATGTAGTACCTTACAAGACCCTGCAAGTCTACCCACAGGCCTACACTTAAATTAGTTTAGAAAACTAGATTGTGATTATTCACCGGACTGTCTTGTCTTGATCCAAAATAATGATTCTCAGTTAAGATAGTATAATAGTACATACTCCAAGTGTCAAAATGCACGTCATCTTGTCGGGATTCAATATTTCGACATTAACCCCGGTATTCTTAAAACGAACTTTAGTCGTAGCTAAAACTTAAAAATTACGTAATTTCGTATTCTTAAAACGAACTTCGACTAGCACTGCGACTAAATGACGCGAACCTCGACTAAAATTATACCTCCGCAGGCCGATTTTTTTACCCAAGCGAAAAGTAGGTGGCGCTATTAACCGAAACGTCATCGGAAGGTCCGAGCTGTCATCGCTTCACTTTTGACGATGCCTCTTGCCAAGAGGCGAAACATGTCAAGTCTGTAAGTAAAAATAACATTTACTTATAAAAAAATTAACACTGGATTAACAAAAGGAAAGAAAATTCACAAAAAATTTACTGAATCCAGAATGAAAAAGCAAATTTGCAGTGACTGCTCAAATTCTCTATCGTTATTATGTTAACGTCTAATATAGTTGTTATTATTATTATAGAAAATTAATTAAGCGAATGTTTATCTATTATGAATTATGACGAAAAGTTTTTTTGAACGGCAGACGGCAGCTTAATATTCATCCGCGTTACTGGATCTCTAAAATTTCGTCTGCTATTAAAATGAGATCTTTTCATTGGTTAGTTTGATAGTCGTTGCTTGCCAGTAGTCTTCTGTTGAACTAAAACTAGGACTTGATTTAGTCGTAGTTAGAACTTCGACTACGTTGTTTATGAATACAAATTTAAGTTTAAGTTGCAACTGGGACTAGATGAAGTTCTAGTTCAAAGTTCAACTAAAGTTCGTTTTAAGAATATGGGCGTTAATGTTTTTCAGCATCGAATTTTCGAATATTTTAACACATAATATTGACAATTTTCACTTTAATGATTAATAATAATGATTTGAATCATAATTATTATTATTATTATTATTATTATTAATAATAATAATAAAAACTTGTAAAAAGTGAATTTCATTTTAGTTTTTAAGTCCATAATCCATGCAGGGCGTGTTTTATTTTGTTTTAAATTTTAATATTGCATATTTAATGTTTTGTATATATTACTTTATTTTTCTTGAATCTTAATTTATACAGTTTTTAACCACGATTTTCAAATTTTGCATTGTTTGTATGAATTATATTTTATAAATCAGATTTCACACGGAGAGCTTCCTCGCAGTGAACTTGTTTTTAACGTTGAGCAATCCGGTCGAGTTTATTATGAATTTTTAAACTTTTTTTCTTCAAATGTTGTATTTCTATCTTGTTATCTTGTTTGTACTTGTATTTTATAGTTTAACGACGACATAAATTATATAATATGATATGTAGGCATATGTATGATTATACCGAAGTCTCAATGCGCAATAAAATATTATAAAATTTATGGTTTTGGATGTAAAGTTATTACATGTTGATTATTTATCCTTTGTATAAATCCAGACATCATATCGTGTACTTGTTCTAAGCAACTTTTCATCAAAATATTACTCACACCACCACTAACATTATCGTTGCTCAATATACACAAAACACAATCTTATAATGTGTATTGGCTATTATTTGTATGTTGTAAGTTATAATAACGTTACATTTTAGGGTACACAGCTTCTTGTAGAACATTAGGCCTAAGTATTTATAACGTAATTTCACAACTTAACAACGTTACAATGTTGCTGCAACTTTGTGGATAAACATCGTTTTCTAACATAACTAACAACAACGTTAGCGAAAGTTATATGACCTGTTATGACGGTTTGCTGGGGTATAATTATATACTGTATAACGGAGTTATCGGCATACTTTTATTATATTTATTTTGATTGATTTATTCAATATTCAAACTACAATACAATGAAAACATCACAATGAGAATACAATACCCTTAGGATTACCATGAGTGCAAGTACTGTCAGAGCGCATTCCCATATTGCATCTTAATATCGTACACTAAATCTAAATATTAAAACTAGATCAAGGTTAGATATAAAAATGAAATGACACAATTTTAACATAAAATACAGTTTGAAACAAATACAATATTTTAAAATCGTTAGCTAAATAAAACAACATTTATACATTAAAGCTGCTGAAGGGGTAAAAAAAAGGAGCGTTCACGCCGCGGCTCTGTGAAATCCTTTCACCACAAAATACACGAGAATGTACAACCGAAGAGCCATTGTGAATGATTTAAAACTGTATATTAAGTGGGGGTTTTTTATACTAATAGGAATAGATTCTCCAAGGCAAAAAAAATAATAAACAATTAATATTTCAAAGAGTTAGTTCTTGCAAATTTGTGTTTTAAAAATGACGGAATCGGAGTATTGAGGTTTAAAATCAATAAAACTACATTAGGCCTATGTATATTAAAATGAATTTGGCCATTATTTTTGTATGCTGGGAGTCGATGCTCTTTGCATTTGAAAACAAATAAATTTGTATCCACCATCCAAAGTATAATTGCTATTCCGATATTGTTACCCAAATCGTTTCTATGAATATCATTAGTTAGGCCTAATTAGTTAGTTACTATTATTGCCAGATTCTCACATGTGATTATTAGTTATCAAAATTACCATCAGCACAGACATTGTTCCTGAGTTTCTTGTGCGTTGTATACATACATAGTACTGAAACGATGTACATGACTACTAATATATATCTGTCTCTTATACACATCTTACCGGGGTGAGTAAAAAATTGTTGAGCCATGTAGTACCTTACAAGACCCTGCAAGTCTACCCACAGGCCTACACTTAAATTAGTTTAGAAAACTAGATTGTGATTATTCACCGGACTGTCTTGTCTTGATCCAAAATAATGATTCTCTGTTAAGATAGTATAATAGTACATACTCCAAGTGTCAAAATGCACGTCATCTTGTCGGGATTCAATATTTCGACATTAACCCCGGTATTCTTAAAACGAACTTTAGTCGTAGCTAAAACTTAAAAATTACGTAATTTCGTATTCTTAAAACGAACTTCGACTAGCACTGCGACTAAATGACGCGAACCTCGACTAAAATTATACCTCCGCAGGCCGATTTTTTTACCCAAGCGAAAAGTAGGTGGCGCTATTAACCGAAACGTCATCGGAAGGTCCGAGCTGTCATCGCTTCACTTTTGACGATGCCTCTTGCCCTGTCTCTTATACACATCTAGATGTGTATAAGAGACAGTATATATATCATGGATAGATAAACAGATAACTGGAGACTATAGCTTCCATTTCACTCATTTCATTTTATTTCATTTCGACCATCAAAATTCACATTCAGAAAGATACAAACAATAAATAATAATTCAGGCCGGGGACAGTATATAAAAATAGAAAATATAGAAATTATTATTTCACGAACAGTTCAATGCTATTACTTTTTAATTTGATGTTGAATAACTGACTTTTGAGGAGCGATTTGTAGACAGATTTTTAATTGTCTTCCAACAACCTGGGTATGAAGAATGTTTTAAATCTCACCCTACAAAGCGCTATACAAATGAAATACTAGTTGTGGCTGAGCATCGGGGTAAAATATCGATTGCTCGTAGTAATTTTGAATTCTCTGTAACAAGAACTTAAGAATCCTTCATTTTAAAATTCCATATATCGACCCCTTTTCTAAGATTGCCTCGCATAAAATTCGTTTGGTTTCTAAGCAATTATGTAATGATTTTGATTTTAAGTTGGCTTTTTCTTCATTTAAAATTAAAAATTTGTTTTCTGTGAAGGATCCTATCCCTGTCGGTCTCCGCTCTCGTGTTGTATATAAATTTGTGTGTGCTGGCTGTAATGGCAGCTATGTCGGAGAAACTAGCCGACACTTCTCAACACATGTGCGCGAGCACTTGGCAATGGATAGGAACTCCCACATATTAAAACACCTTGAGAATTCACGCATATGCATGCAAACTTGTATCTTTTTGAATGGGGGGTGTGCAACCAGGCTGGGGACCAGGGGCCGCCCAGGGCCCCCGGTCAGGGTCCAGGGGCCGAAGGGCCGGGAAAAATTTGCTTTCTTACGTCCTAGTACACTAATTTGAAGGCATTTTATCATGTTAATCTCTATATGCCCGTGAACACAGCGATAGGGCCTATCAAAAAATGGAGAAACAAGCAAATTGTTTCCCAAATGAAAAATACTACTGTATAAATTTTTAGGATCTGTCGAAACATGTATGTAACGTAAGGCCTAGCAATGGCTAGGCCTAAAAGTTTTCAGGCATTGCCTGACATGATCGTTCTCAAAAGTATCGTCATATTTTTGGATTTTATTAGTGCTATATTGTGTCATCGATTTGGTAACAAATACTGAATTGTTATCAACATATTTGAGCCTCAGTTTCAGTTAAATCTTAGAAATTACATAGGTGTCCATGGTCCCCAAACACATTCATTACCATTTGAACATGGGTCAGCTAGTTGTGGCTGAGCATCGGGGTAAAATACAGGTGTCGATTGCTCGTAGTACTTTTGAATTCTCTGTAACAAGAACTTAAGAACACGAGGGCGTTCTTCAGAAAGATCATTCATTTCTAGTGGATCATCCTTGATGTTAAATAACCACGCCCTTTGGTCGGTTGTTGGTGGGCCGCTGATTGATACAATATTTGTATCAGGGGGTGCATACCATCCTGTTCGTCCTGAAATAGTAACATTTGAATGTATTATCTTTTATGTGTCTTGTTTGATACTGTTACTTTATGTTTATGTCCTAGGACTATATAAAAACAGATAGTAGTGAAATCTTTATTGCAATCGTCATTATCAGTAAACAAATAAGTCAAATTGAAGTTAAACAATTTAAAGAGTACAAAAAGGACGTCACGAATACAAAACACAAAACAGTTAATACTTACCATTGTCTCCGGTGACAAGTTTCCAGTCTCCAAACCTTATCGCAGCATTAATAGATACGTTAAAAGGACTCATGGCATTAACCCAATCCCTACCACCAGGCACAACCCAAAGAGGGTCAATGTTGTGCAGAATCTCATGTCGTTGAGAGCAAGTTCCATCTCTATTGTTAAAACAAATCAGACCATGTTAGGCATATATTATATAGCATGTACTGAAAGTCCTGGTGCTCAGTTGGCTAAGTTATCTACATAGACAGCAGAAGATTCTGGATTTGAATCCCGGTATTGGGGCGATTTTTTTGTATTAGTATTCACACTCAACACAAGAGAGTATAACGCGTCAAATACAGGGTGCAAATATGTTGTTTAAAAGTCTCATTTTAAGATGTGGAGTTGTCTTTAGTCATGGAAAAATAGGTTTTGGCAATCACCATACGTTCTGTACCTAAACCTAGCCTAGGTGTAATTAGTGTAGGTCTACATGTATATGATCATGTTATGCTCCCAACAAGGAGACTAAGAATATTGGCCTACTTTTAAAGGGATATTAGAATAAAGAAATATTAATTTATTTCTCCGGCTATACTGAGGTTTTCTCTTTCTATACACATAAAATTTGAGTGTCTTTAGTTTTGATATGCGTGAATCCTGTATTAAGCGTTCGTACCTTATAGATCTCCACTGGTTCTTTCCATCTAGAGGTGATTTCGATCCACGTGTGCTTGATCTAGCGATACCTTCGATGATTGTTGGGTACCAATCACTGATGTGATATAGTTCATTGCTCACAGTTCCTTTGACTTTTTCAGAGAGGATTGGACTGTGAACAAATCCGAGCGCTCGCATACCACCCTCGAACATAGACAACTTGAATCCTCGCAATGGCCAATTGTTTCCGGCATCTTGTATACTGCCACCATTATCTTTTGACAAAGGATAATAAGATAATTAATAACCAAGATATCAATCAAGTAAATACTGTTGCATTCCAAATATGAATCCTAATCGGTTACATACAAGAATAAAGCATTTGTTCATTTTAATGAAATTTTACTGTTTAACGTTAAACATTCTAATGAAATTATATTTGTAACATACGGTATTTATTAATTCAGTAAGTCCGGTTTGGTGTTTAAGTTGCCAATTTCACTTTATATATCCGTGTATTATCGACATTAAGTTGTCAGTCCGGTATACACAATATTTTGTCCACGAAAAAAACCGGTACTGTACATTATGCGAAATAACTTTACAGATAAATTTATTTCATATCTTTTGTGTTTATAGGTATACAAAAAAGCAGAGTATGACCATAACATTAAACATACTAATGAAATTATATTTGTAACATATTATATATCCAGTAAGTCCGGTTTGGTTTTTAAGTTGCCAATTTCACTTTATGTATCCGTAATTAAATGTGTCGTGGTTAGGAATATCGAATTTGATAATTAGGCCTAATGCTTGAAAATTTATTAAACTATCATGTTAGATTTTAATATTCTTCTTGGCAAAATTTAAGCAATATATTTTACAGTTCCAAAAAATGAATCCGATCATGTACACTACATTACGACTATTGAAGACACGAAGCAAACACTCACCACTAGAGAAGATTATGACAGTGTTGTCATATGTCCCCTTATTTTTCAACGCTTGTACAACTTGCCCGATACCCTCGTCCAAGCATGATACCATAGCAGCGTAGGTAAGTCTGTCCTCATCTTGAAATATACCGCGGTATGGGTCCTTGTATTCCTCGGGCACCTCAAGAGGAGCGTGGGGTGCTTGGTAGGATAGGTACATGAAGAAAGGCTACGTAAAAATGAAATCGTAAATTATTATTTAGATTCGTGATTATTTCTTATTTCACAGAAAAAAAAAACTGACACCAAAATACGAATATATATACAACTATATAAACTATATATTTGTCTGTGTTTGCCTTTATGGTTTCACCGTGTTAGGTTTGGCTGTTAATTGGATACTGAATATAGAAATAAACGCATTAATTTAGACGTACCGTGTCTTCATCTTGGTTATTTATGATGTCGATTGCTTCGTTAGTGAACACGTGTGTAGAATAAGTACCATTCAACTCCTTTGCTGGTGAGCGGTTACGATGCATGTCGTAGTAAGCAGCAGATGGGAAAGAATGGCTAAAGTGGAACCCCCCACCAAGTAACAGACCTGTAAATTAAATTATGTACACTTTAGTGGATCGTATATTTAAAAAGCTTAATATGAAATGTACAAGTATACTTTCCATTGTTTCATGGCCGAAACGTGCCCCTTAAAGATGTATTCCCTTATTAAGGGTGTCCCATTAATAAGGGTGTCCCCTTAAATAGTGGTGTCCTCTTAATAGAGCCATCCCAAAGGAGGGTTTCTACTGTATCAACAAGTTTGGTATCGAAAAATTGACATATTGATTGATTGATTGATTGGTTGATTGACCAATAATACAAATGATACAATTTAATATTAATCTTTCTGATAATAGATATTATTTTTATTATTTTATTATAATTTCATATGTATAGTGTGCGCTTATTAGTACGATTTTTATGTCAAGAGTTGACAAAGAATACAGGAGTAGCAGAAATATTCGTTTCAATAAATGTTAGTGTTCCTAAAGTCAACATAAATAAATAAAATGGAAGCTAAAGTTTATAGTTATCTGTCTTTCTATATCTGTCTGTCATAAATATATATATATATATATATAGAACTGGAGGTCGCTGGAACAGAATGAGATGTGTATAAGAGACAGCCACGTGTGCTTGATCTAGCGATACCTCGTACACATTACTTCATCCGGTCGGTGTACATGCGTTGATGAAAATACCGATAGACATAAATGTCATCTTTATTATTTATAAATCTCTTGTGTATATAAAATATCAATATTCACCTAAAAAGGTATCGAATCCTCTATTGGTAGGTAGACACGCCTCTTCGAAAAAGCCCAGATGCCATTTACCAATCATATGAGTTGAGTAACCAGCTTCTTTCATCTTCTGAGCTAGTGTCATCTCATCAGTCGGTAGGCAAGCTGGTGCCAATGGATCAAGAACAGCATGTTGCAATCCATAACGAGTCTGAATATTTTATCAAATTTTACATATTATTATTGCTGTTGCTGTTCCTGTTTTAATTAATTAAAAGAAATACCGGTATACAATACCGGTAAAGTATATGCAATATAAACGATAAAGTATATGCAATAATAATAATTTATTAATTGATGTAACGCAAATTTCATTAAAAATATGTTCTGCACATTACAATAAAATATACAAGGATACACATTTAGAATATAAAATAGATAGTTAAAATTATGGGCAGCTGAAATTCTTACATCATATTGAAAGTCAATCATATTGTATCACAATGAAAGTTAAACAATAAAAATTAAAAAATTGATAAGAAGTTTTTGAGGGCTTTTTAGAGTGGCCATTTTCAGATTTGGTAATCCGAAATGATTTCACAAAAAAATCACTGTCGGTCTATTTGACACTACACATGTTACGTTTTGAACACAGCATCCAAACAGTACCGGTATAGGCCTATAGTATTGAACCATTCTTTTCAACTACTGAAACTGTAAAAAAAAATGTATCAACCTGCTTACTTTCCAACCACCACCTACTTAAAAAAAGAAAAATACGCTAGCCGACTAACCGCATTTTATTGTAATAGTTGTATATCTACCAATTCTTCTCGTTTACTGGTTTTTACTTTAATAGTTAACAAAATAAATATATGCAAAGTATTGGTGTTGGAATGGAAATATTATGCAAATAGTCAATGTTTCTTAGCGTCACACGTTTAAATATAACGGTGCATTAAAAATATTACCAATCAGTTCCTAAAAACTAAAGTTAGTACATAAAAAATGCTGTACACTTTACTGCAATTGCACTAATTTGAATATTCACCAAACTGCTATTGTTATCTACATACGGTATACGGTAAACCTATTCTTTAAATTGTCTTCACATTCACATCCTACTTCGGATAGTGACCAAAATTTAAACACTCATATCCACATCATAATAAGGCTGATCGCCAAAATGTAAATGTTCCTTCATCGAGACATGACAAACTAATCTGGGTAGTGTCATTTTAAATCCATTGATTATTATTAGAGATATTTAGGTCTGGGACTTTAAATGACCCTCAAATGCGCACCCGAATTTGGATCGTCACCAATAATTTATTTCTTGTAACTTGGTTAAACTTTCACGAAAGGTCCATTCAGATAAGTTGGTTATTTTTTTAAATATCTGGTCTGGGACGTTTTTTTTTCTAAATGGTTCTCATACCAAAATTTAATTCCCTCATCCTTAGGTCATACCTAACAATCCCTGTAACTTCTATTTAGATCATTATTTCGAATACAAAAAAAAACAAATGAAAACACCAAAACGTGACACACACGCACACACCCCACACAAACTTACACGACTGAAAACATATATCTCCTGGGGGAGATAATAATGCGGTTTGGTACAGCGATTTCTTTCAAGTTCTGAACCTCGTGCTTAAAATAAACACATTTTATACATTATCAATTCCCGACTCAAAATGTTCTATAGCCTGACTCCACTACAAACTGATATTTGAATACACTACCGAAATAATAAAGTAAAGAACTAATGACAGGGAATTGATTAAAAATTATAATACACAGGGAATTAATTAAAATTATAATAATATAACACGCTACGGTATTGCTTGACATTCCACTGTGAAGGGGCCCGTCGACACCGACTATAAAAATGCATGGGCCCCCGGGACACACTCTCCTCCCCAGGCCCACGTCTCGTCGTTACGCCACTGGGTCTCCTAACTATGCATTAGAGCTACTTCTATAATGTACAAAATTGACTTAAACAGATAATTTTATTACCTGATATCTACCGGTCATTAACTGGGATCTAGTTGGTGAACAGACTGGTTGTACGTAGTAGTTTTCCAACTTTACCCCTTCGCCCGCCAATTGATCAAGCACCGGTGTGTCAAAAAGCGATCCATGATAGCCGACGTCTCTGTAGCCATGATCGTCTGACAGAATCACAATAACGTTGGGTTTAGTTTTCTTATCTTTAGCCTGGATGAGGTTGAGTGTGAAATATAAAACTAGAAAAATAAGTACTCCTCGTGCTGCCATCTTCACAGGTCGATGTCTCTATCGATAGTGATATACAGGTGAAATGTGTCAGCTATATAACAAACAAGGAAATCGGAAGAAAGCCACCCCTGTCATAAGCCATCCCTGTCAAAAGCCACCCAAAAAATGATTATAATTGTAAGTTGGGGTGCACAATGAGGTGTTTGTCTTGATGTTAGGCTACAATAGGTGTTGGCTGTAGTGCTATGAGTTTTTTGTATCAGACCTCTTTTATTCTTTTGTGTATTATGAATTAGAAACTGGGTGTGGCCTACCTAGGCATATGCAAACATCATAACTTCTCTTAATTTTCTTTTTCCGTCGATTAAATTAAAAGTGAAGTAATTTTCACTGCTCTCCGATTCGTTTACAGTTCTAGTTCACTGTTCTCATTTTCTTTTATTGCAAACAACACAAAGATTAAAGTATCACTTCCAGTGTATTGATGACAATTATTCACAAATAAATATTTGTTTTTTCTTTCTTTTTTTAACATTTTTTCATTACTATTGATATATACTATAACATATTATTTCCCTTTCTTTTTTATTATCAATGACGAATATCTATTGATTACTCTTTACTTATTTATTAAGTATTTATTTTATTTAACATAAAATAATGTAATATTTTCACTTCCATACTGGAATTGATGACAATTACTCACAAATAAATATTTGTTTTTTCCATACTGGAATTGATGACAATTACTCACAAATAAATATTTGTTTTTTTCTTTCTGTTTTAAAGATTTTTTCATTACTATCTATATATACTATTAATACTGCCGTGATTCGGAAGAACGCATTATAAGCCAAAATCATAGTTTTAAGATATTGATCAAAACGTGTTTCTTGTTAGCCTTTTGTTATGGAAATGAATTATATTGAATTTTTTGTGTAAATGTACAAACTACACAACAGGAAAACATACTAAAGTACTTTTTATATATATATTTTTTCTATAACCCAGTCAAAATGCCCTCCCCCCGCCCCCCCCCCCCTATAAGAGACAGAAAATATATAATGTCTGGAGATTTTTGTATGATCGGAAATGCAAAAAAAGGAGGGAAGAAGGATGGGAAAGAGAATGTTTATCCAGTACCCGACCGAGTTACATTTTCTCGCAATTCATATTGGCGGATCTGGGGGAGGGGGTCGTTGGTCCTTACCCCTCTCTTGGGCAACAAAAAAAAATGGCAAAAAGAAACGAATTCTAGACCTACCCTTTCAGGACCCGTGAGCTGATTTTTTTTTTTTTTTTGCTATTAGAAAATTCGAATTTTGAAGAACATTTTTTTAAAACACACTTCAAATGTCGGGAAAACTCATTTCCCGCCAGCTAGGAATCAAAATTTTCCCTGGGAAGAACTACAGGACTCTCCACCAAGAAGTGTGTAAATGGGCACGTAATGATTCTGCGCCTGTATGTCTGTCTCTTATACACATCTAGATGTGTATAAGAGACAGATATGGGGCTGGGGGTATCACACCAAGTCATAAATTACTAACCGGGAAAATTATTACCTTTGCCCCCCCCCCCGACCCAAGACCCCTGTTACGCGCCTGCTAAGTGCCCCCCCCCCACTTTGAAAAACGTTCCGCCGGCCCTGTACAATACAATCTGGTTAAGCCTATGCCCCTTCAAAGTTTCACGCCAATCAGGAAACTAATACATACCCATGTAAAGTCGGTCGAATCCACGATTGGGCAATCGTGATCGCTACGAATTACACCACAATAAGTTTCCCAGTAGGTGTATTTACACCTTTGTTGGTTCTTTTAAATAGTACAATATCCACTGCATTAAAATATTTTACTGTACATGGTAATTAATTTGTAAACTACCATGTAGAAAAAGATCAAAGGAGAGGATATTCTGTTAAATTAAACTTTATTTATGAGTTACATATTCAAAGGTTTACACTTAAGTAACTTACAAACGTCACAAATTTTATTTTTAGCCAAGAGGCTTATGATAGTTAAATTTCTATACGTATGCATGGGCAACATGTATTGTCATCAACATATTGTATAGGCAATAACGTATCAAATACAGTGTAATAATAATAATATTGATAATAATCAGAATAATAATAATAATAATAATAATAATAAAAATAATAATAATAATAATAATAATAATAATAATAATAATAATAATAATAATAATAATAATAATAATAATAAAATAATAATAATAATAATAATTCCGTTGAAAAAAAAAAAAAAAAACATTCTCTATCCAGAAAAAAGTGCAGCATGTTAAGGACGCCTTAAAATTGAACGGTTATTGCACGAGAGACATCCAAACGCCAATACACTTTTTATTTTTATAATTAAGAACCAGAAAAAATTTTGCCCAGGCTCAGAGTTCTTATTTTTTGTCCGTTTTCAGGCTCAAAATGTTCTAATTTTTGCTTATGTTACACACTTTTCAAACATAAAAAAATTATTATTGTACACTACTTAAATGTAGGTAGGTGGCGCCGCCAAAAATGGTCTCTGGAAAAAAGGCCCTAAAAAATGGCCACAGAAAAAAAGGCCCCTGTAAAAATGGCCCTAAATGACAGGTAGGTACCGTACACCTACTGTACTACATTATTGAGGGTACTACATAGTCGCACATACTGCACATAAGGTAGATATAATTTTCTGGTTTTTCTAGTTTTTTTAAATAAAAATCTCATTTGACATTGTACCTTAGCCTCAATTTGTTCTTATTTTGTTCTTTTTTTCATTTTCAGCCTCAGTGTTACATTTTCAGCCTCAGTGTTATTATAAAATGTGTTCTTATCAACAACGAAAAAGTGTAGGCAAGATGATACGGAATCTAGAAAGTCTGTATGTTTACCATATTTGGTACAATTTTTACATCGTATTCAACGCATTCTACAAGCCCATATTAAAGTATTTCATAGTGCACCCAACAAACAATCCCGGACTCTCCTATACACAAGGATAATTAGCAGCACAGAGCCAACCATGAGTTTATTGCATTCCATGCGAGTGTGGAAAAGTTCACATTGGTAAAACAGGAAGTGATATCCGTACAAGGCTCTCTCAAGGAACACTAAGGCATGTCAGGACAGGGGAAACAACAAAAGTTATCTATAGTCATGCACTCCCAAAAGCAACAACAGCGTGTATGTTAATGGGATTAAGCTGAACTGATAGTCACTATACCATCTTGGCATTCCATGGAGACGACCAGAGAAGCTATAGAAATTCACAAACACACGATATACCTACAGTAAATCAAGATTCTGTACCGGATTTGTCATCAACGATATTTGGTTGTCATGTTTAATCAAACCTAAACAAAAGCAACACATTTCCCACCACACTGGAAATCATGCCATTGTTTGGTTTTCCTTTCACTAAGCTAGAAACAATGCCAATGTCTTGGCTTTCCAGCTACGCCCACCCTTAAGCAAAGACTGTAATTTGTATTTAGCCTTTTCACACGTAGTCTCAGTTATTGTACCTATTCTTAACGCTGACCATTCTTCGATAAGATAGTATAGTAATACTCCAAGTGTCGAAATGCACGCCATCGTGTCGGAATTTAATATTTCATCATCAGGAACCATTCCTGACATAATTAATGTCGAAATATTGAATCCCGACACGATGGCGTGCATTTCGATATTTACAGTATGTATTATACAGGGTACTATCTTATCTGACCATTCTCTACCAAATAATTGCCGCCTACTAAGGATGCTTAAAATCTAGTACCAATGTCGAATTTGATCCGTTACAATTCGGATTCGTTACTAATGGGAGAGGAACTACTATGGCCGCCGTAACGGTAACGATGTGATTAATTATCGTGTAAATCAAGGCTTCTCTGTATTTTCCTGCTCACTTGGTGCAGAAGGTGCCTTCGATGCTATACCTCACGATATAATTTTTGAAAAGTTAAATAATAAGATACATAATGAATGGTGGCAATGTTTATATTCTTGGTATACCAACCTTACTGTGTATATTAAATTGAAGAACCGCATAGGCCGCCAACTTTTCTTTAAGGTAAAAGGCAAGGAGGTTTATCTTCACCTTTTATTTTTAACTTATTCTGTAAAGATTTGGTTTAAGAGCACGCAGTGGATCCGGTGTGGTATTGTTATTGCAAATTCAAGCTTCAATGTCTTCTGCTACGCTGATGATTTATTACTTGTAGACTCGCATCAACTGATATATCATCGGTGTGTTAAACAAAGGGACGTCAAGTTTAGCTTCCAAAAGGCAAAATTAATGTTTTAATAGCAACATGCGATAGTTCCTGATTTGCACGAAATCACCTCGAGTTGCGGTCACCATAACAACAAAGATGGCGCCACCCTGGCTCGGGATCAATTATAATAGTCTATAATTATAGTTCTCCAAATAAAGCAAATTTCCAGTGACTGCTCAAATTCTCTATCGTTATATGTTAACGACTAATGTAGTTATTATTATAGAAAATTAATTAAGCAAATGATTATTATGAATTATGACGAAAAATATTCATCCGCGTTATTGGATCTCTAACATTTTGTCTGCTATTAAAATGAGCTCTTTTCATTGGTTAGTTTGATAGTCGTTGCTTGCCAGTCGTCTTCAGCTGAACTAAAACTAGGACTTGATTTAGTCGTAGCTGTTCCCTGGTCGTAGTTAGAACTTCGACTACGTTGTTTATGAATACAAATATAAGTTGAAACTGGGACTAAATGAAGTTCTAGTTCAAAGTTCGTTTTAAGAATACGGGCGTTAATGCTTTTCAGCATCGACTTTTCGAATATTTTAACACATAATATTGACAATAATTATAATTATTATTATTATTATTATTACTATTATTAAATAATAATATTAATATTTATAATAATAATAACAATAATAATAATAATAATAATAATAATAATAATAATAATAATAATAATAATAATAATAATAATAATAATAATAATAATAATAATAATAATAATAATAACTTGTAAAAAAAGTGAATTTCAGTTTAGTTTTTAAGTCCATAATCCATGCAGGGGGTGTTTTATTTTGTTATAAATTTTAATATTGCATATTTAATTTGTTGTATATATTTTAGGCCTTTATATTTCTTGAATCTTAATTTATACAGTTATATATATATATAGATGATTTGTGGTTGTTCATCCTAGATCTGAAAGTGAGTACTGAATTGTAACTCGCCCAATATTATATACAGTACCTCATATACTGCAACAATGCAACAGATCTAGGATGAACAACCACATATATATTATTTCTACTTCTGTACATTTTATTATATTCATTGTTTTCTAAACTGTATTTAATAGTCATTATGATATCATGCGTTATATTATTTAAACTCATACATATACCTTCATATTTCTACAATTTATTTTCTATTCCACAATTATTTTAATTATATAGTACCTTATATTACAATCTTACTATATTTTATTTTCTGTTACTGTTTACTGTAGTTAAATAAGTCTTAGCATTAAGCTGGTTCAATCGCTTACATAATTATTTGCCGACATCTTATCATGGTTTAATTGTAATTACATTTCCCATTAACTTGTCACTGAACTTATATTTTGTGGTCCAATCAACTAATTGTATCGTTAAATCGATTCTGATTTGTTAATGTCATTTATTATTCTTTATGTATATGTAAGATCTTCAAAGTGTTCTCACTTTAACGTTAAAGATAGCAGGAGCTATCGAAATATCCGTTTGATTTTGTTGGAGCTTAGTAAATTGGTGTTCCGCAAATCAACTTTCAATGATTACACACCATTTTTCAGTATTCACACTCAACACCAGAGAGTATAACGCGTCAACTACAAGGTGAAAATATGTTGCTTATTTAAAAGTCTTATTTTAAGATGTGGAGTTGTATTTAGTCATAAAAAAAATAGGTTTTGGCAATCACCATACGTTCTGTACCTAAACCTAGCCTAGGTGTAATTAGTGTAGGTCTACATGTATATGATCATGTTATGCTCCCAACAAGGAGACTAAGAATATTGGCCTACTTTTAAAGGGATATTAGAATAAAGAAATATTAATTTATTTCTCCGGCTATACTGAGGTTTTCTCTTTCTATACACATAAAATTTGAGTGTCTTTAGTTTTGATATGCGTGAATCCTGTATTAAGCGTTCGTACCTTATAGATCTCCACTGGTTCTTTCCATCTAGAGGTGATTTCGATCCACGTGTGCTTGATCTAGCGATACCTTCGATGATTGTTGGGTACCAATCACTGATGTGATACAGTTCATTGCTCACAGTTCCTTTAACTTTTTCAGAGAGGATTGGACTGTGAACAAATCCGAGCGCTCGCATACCGCCCTCGAACATAGACAACTTGAATCCTCGCAATGGCCAATTGTTTCCGGCATCTTGTATACTGCCACCATTATCTTTCGATAAAGGATAATAAGATACGGTAATTAATAACCAAGATGTCAATCAAGTACTGTTGCATTCCCAATAAGAATCCTAATCGGTTACATACAAGAATAAAACATTTGTTCCTTTTAAAGAAATTTTACTGTTTAACATTAAACATTCTAATGAAATTGTATTTGTAACATATTAATTCATTCAGTAAGTCCGGTTTGGTGTTTAAGTTTCCAATTTCACTTTATATGTCCGTGTATTATCTACATTAAGCAGTCGGTCCGGTATACACAATATTTTGTCCACGAAAAAAGCCGGTACTGTACACTATTCGAAATAACTTTACAGATAAATTTATTTCATATCTTTTGTGTTTATAGGTATACAAAAAAGGCAGAGTATTACTATAGAGAAAATATATTTTTTCTCTATGGTGTGATTTTTTTTTCACTATGGTATCTGTCTCTTATACACATCTAGATGTGTATAAGAGACAGTATATATATATATCATGAATAGATAGACAAATAACTATAAATTATAGCTTCCATTTCACTCATTTCATTTATTTATTCGACCATAAAAATTCAAATTCAGACAATTAAATTCAAACAATAAATAATAATTCAGGCCGGGGACAGTTAAAATATAGAAATTACTATTTCACGAAGTGTTCAATGCTATTACTTTTTAATTTGATGTTGAATAATTGACTTTTGGGGGAGCGATTTATAGACAGATTTTTAATTGTCTTCCAACAACCTTGATATGAGACATGTTTTAAATCTCACCTTACAACGCGCTATACAAATGAAATACTAAATTGTTATCAACATCTTTGAGCATTAGTCTTAGTTAAATCCTAGAGATTACATAGGTGTCCATGGTCCCCAAACACATTCATTACCATTTGAACATGGGTCAGCTAGTTGTGGCTGAACATCGGGGTAAAATACAGGTGTCGATTGCTCGTAGTAATTTTGAATTCTCTGTAACAAGAACTTAAGAACACGAGGGCGTTTTTCAGAAAGATCATTCATTTCTAGTGGATCATCCTTGATGTTAAATAACCACGCCCTTTGGTCGGTTGTTGGTGGGCCGCTGATTGATGCAATATTGGTATCAGGGGGTGCATACCATCCTGTTCGTCCTGAAATAGTAACATTTGGATGTATTATTTTTTATGTGTCTTGTTAGATGCTGTTACTTATGTTTATATCCTAGGACTATATAGTAACAGATAGTAGTGAAATCTTTATTGCAATCGTCATTATCAGTAAACAAATAAATCAAATTGAAGTTGAACAATTTAAAGAGTACAAAAAGGACGTCACGAATACAAAACACAAAACAGTGTATAATTACCATCGTCTCCGGTGAGAAGTTTCCAGTCTCCAAACCTTATCGCAGCATTAATAGATACGTTGAAAGGACTCATGGCATTAACCCAATCCCGACCACCAGGCACAACCCAAAGAGGGTCAATGTTATGCAGAATCTCATGTCGTTGAGAGCAAGTTCCATCTCTATTGTTAAAACAAATCAGACCATGTTAGGCTTATATTATATATCATCGGTGAGTCGGATGGCCGAGGGGGGGGGGGGCCCCCCACTTTTTGGCAAAGAATATATGTCTGGAGATTTTTGTATGATCGGAAAGAAATGCAAGAAAAGAAGGAGGAAAAGGATGGGAAAGAGAATGTTTATCCAGTCCCCGACCGAGTTACATTTTCTCGCAATTCACATTGCGGATCTGGGGAAGGGGTGATGGGTCCTGACCCCTCCCTTGGGCAACAAAAAAAAAAGAAAAAAAAGAATTCTAGACCTACTTTTTCAGAACCCGTGAGCTGATTTTTTTTTTTTTTTTTTTTTTTTTTGGACCTGTGAGCTTTTTTTTTTTTTTTTTTTTTTTTATGTTACAATAAGAAAATTAGAATTTTGAAGAACATAAAAGTCATTAAAACACACTTCAAATGTCGGGAAAGCCAATTTCCCACCATCTAGGAATCAAAATTTTCTCGGGGGAAAACCAGAACCCCCTTTCTTTTTGGGATTTATAGATTCATTGAAAAAAAGAATACGTATCCAACTACTCAATTTTTTTTTATGTATGTATACACACATAAGGCCTATCTACTGTAATAACAATGAGAAAAAATTACCTGACAGTTTTCAAGAGGGGAAAACCTTGAATTTTGAAGAACTTGTAATTAAGACACCTCAGAAAAGCTCAATTCCCGCCATCTAGGAATCAAAATTTTTTTCCGGGGGAGAACACCCGACCCCCTTCTTTTCATTTGGAGCTTATCGATTCATTGAAAAAAGAATACGTATATGCAACTAATAATTTTTTTTTTATGTATGTATACACACATGACCGGCCAATTTACTGTAATAAGAATGAGAAAGTTTACCTGACCGTTTTCAAGAGGGGGGAAAACCTTGAATTTTGCAGAACAAAGTCATTAGACACCTAGCTCAAAAGTCGAGAAAGGTCATTTCCCGCCATCTAGAAATCAAAATTTTCCCGGGGAAGGACCAACAAACACTCTTCAAGACGTTCTAATTCAGTGGCACTCATAACGGAGTGGACAACGGGAATTGCTGGTACCGGGTCACCGGGTAGCACAGACACGAAGGGACCCTTAGGGGCGAAGATAGTCATTGATCGAGTTCCTAGTCCACATATCAAGCGCCCTGAGTATCTTATATTAGATGGATATGTGCGCTATATAAATCTACACTATTATCATTATTATTATTATTATTATTATTATTATTATTATTATTATTATTATTATTATTATTATTATTATTATTATTATTATTATTATTATTATTATTATTATTATTTATTAATTATTATTATTATTATTATTATTATTATTACACTGTATTTGATACGTTATTGCCTATACAATATGTTGATGACAATACATGTTGCCCATGCATACGTATAGAAATTTAACTATATTATTATTATTATTATTATTATTATTATTATTATTATTATTATTATTACACTGTATTTACGTTATTGCCTATACAATTATTATTATTATTATTATTATTATTATTATTATTATTATTATTATTATTATTATTATTATTATTATTATTATTATGTACTGAAAGTGCTAGTGCTCAGTTGGCTGTTATCTACATAGACAGCAGAAGATTCTGGATTTGAATCCCGGTATTGGGGCGATTTTGGTATTAGTATTCACACTCAACACCAGAGAGTATAACGCGTCAACTACAAGGTGAAAATATGTTGCTTATTTAAAAGTCTTATTTTAAGATGTGGAGTTGTATTTAGTCATAAAAAAAATAGGTTTTGGCAATCACCATACGTTCTGTACCTAAACCTAGCCTAGGTGTAATTAGTGTAGGTCTACATGTATATGATCATGTTATGCTCCCGGAACAAGGAGACTAAGAATATTAGCCTACATTCAAAGGGATATTAGAAAAATTAAATATTAATTTATTTCTCCGGCTATACTGAGGATTTGTTTTGCGTGAATCCTGTATTAAGTGTTCGTACCTTATAGATCTCCACTGGTTCTTTCCATCTAGAGGTGATTTCGATCCACGTGTGCTTGATCTAGCGATACCTTCGATGATTGTTGGGTACCAATCACTGATGTGATACAGTTCATTGCTCACAGTTCCTTTAACTTTTTCAGAGAGGATTGGACTGTGAACAAATCCGAGCGCTCGCATACCGCCCTCGAACATAGACAACTTGAATCCTCGCAATGGCCAATTGTTTCCGGCATCTTGTATACTGCCACCATTATCTTTCGATAAAGGATAATAAGATACGGTAATTAATAACCAAGATGTCAATCAAGTACTGTTGCATTCCCAATAAGAATCCTAATCGGTTACATACAAGAATAAAACATTTGTTCCTTTTAAAGAAATTTTACTGTTTAACATTAAACATTCTAATGAAATTGTATTTGTAACATATTAATTCATTCAGTAAGTCCGGTTTGGTGTTTAAGTTTCCAATTTCACTTTATATGTCCGTGTATTATCTACATTAAGCAGTCGGTCCGGTATACACAATATTTTGTCCACGAAAAAAGCCGGTACTGTACACTATTCGAAATAACTTTACAGATAAATTTATTTCATATCTTTTGTGTTTATAGGTATACAAAAAAGGCAGAGTATTACTATAGAGAAAATATATTTTTTCTCTATGGTGTGATTTTTTTTTCACTATGGTATTGGGCCTAAACCTGATTCTAGTGTCTATGCGCATTTTTGTAGGTAAAACGGGGTTAAAGTTGTCTCGTGGTTAAGGTATCGAATTTGATAATTAATGCTTGAAAATTTATTGAACTATCGTATCAGATTTTAAACTCCGTCTTGGAAAAACCATATATTTTACAGTTCCAAAAAATGAATCTGATCATGTACACTACATTACGACTATTGAAGACACGAAGCAAACACTCACCACTAGAGAAGATTATGACAGTGTTGTCATATGTCCCCTTATTTTTCAACGCTTGTACAACTTGCCCGATACCCTCGTCCATGCATGATACCATAGCAGCGTAGGTAAGTCTGTCCTCATCTTGAAATATACCGCGGTATGGGTCCTTGTATTCCTCTGGCACCTCAAGAGGAGCGTGGGGTGCTTGGTAGGATAGGTACATGAAGAAGGGCTACGTAAAAATATAATCGTAAATAATTATTTAGATTCATGTTTATTTCTTTTTCCACAGAAAAATAAACCGTGACACTGATATGCGAATATGTAGACAAAAACTATATAGTTTTCTGTGTTTTCTTTTATGGTTTCACCGTGTTAGGATGGGTGTTAATTGGATACTGAATATATAATTAAACGCATTAATTTAGACGTACCGTGTCTTCATCTTGGTTGTTTATGATGTTGACAGCTTCGTCAGTGAACGCGTATGTAGAATAAGTACCATTCAAATCCTTTGCTGGTGAGCGGTTACGATGCAAGTCGTAGTAAGCAGGGGCTGGGAAAGAATGGCTAAAGTGGAACCCTCCACCAAGTAACAGACCTGTGAATTAAATTATGCATTACTTTATTTGGTCCTATATTTAAAAAGTTGCATAGTATGTCTAATACTTAAAGTATATGAATACAGTAGAACCTCCATTAAGGGAATATGGTTGGCCGTAGTGTTAAAATGTATACATTCCATCGTTTTCCATCCGAGTTCCGTATTACTTTGTTTTTCTACATTGTAGCCCTAAATATGTTGTAGTTCCTATTTTTTAAAGAAATTATGGGTGCTTATTTGTTGTGTTATTTATTTAGGAAAAAAAAGTAGAACCCTAAAAAATGCTTCTAATTTCTCCCTTTTTTTCTTAACAAACGGAGAGCATTAGATACCGGTATTGATCTACAGTATATATAAAATATCGATATTTACCTAAAAATGTATCAAATCCTCTGTTGGTCGGAAGACACGCCTCTTCGAAAAAGCCCAGATGCCATTTACCAATCATATGCGTTGAGTAACCAGCTTCTTTCATCTTCTGAGCTAGTGTCACCTCATCAGTCGGTAGGCAAGCTGGTGCCAATGGGTCGAGAACAGCATGTTGCAGTCCATAACGAATCTGAATAATTGATCAAATTTTATTATATTATTATTATTAATATTATTATTGATATTGCTGTTGTATTCATTATTACCCATAAATGATAAAATATATACAAAAATAATAATAATTTATTAATTTATATTGTGCAAATTCCATTAAAAATATGTTCAAATGCGTATTACAATAAAATAGACAGGAATACAAATTTACAATATGAAAGGTACGGTAGTTAAAATTAGCTAAAAATTCACACAACATATTGAAAGTCAATTATATTATTGCATCACAATAAAAGTTAATCAATAAAATTAAAAACTTCACACCACATAAAAATGAGTTTTCATTACTTATTAAAAACGTAAATAATAGTAGGCCTAATAGTAAACAATATTATTAATAATGATGTGGTTTGGTGCAGTGATTTCGTTCAAGTTCTGAACAACGTGATTGTGGCGTTTGAGACGCATGCTGACCATTCTCTGTCGATTAAGTTTGCCTCAGCTTGCACCGGTGATGGGTTATGAAGTGGTATAATTGGCTTCAATAAAAAAATAACAAATAAATAAAATAAAAAATCGGCCGCTTCTCGTCAATATAAAATCTTAACATAAACCCATAACTTAAGATAAAACATGTAAATATAACAATATTCAAAATAATAATAACAATAATATTAATAAAAAATTTGAGTTAATATGGATGTTAATATGGATGACTGGTCTTGCGGTCCGCAAATTCCATGAGCTATATTTATAGTAATAACCAATGCATTGACACTTGTTTCTCTTTATTTCTATAAACCAAGGCAAGCACGAATTCAGTATATTTAAATCTATCCATTGTTTATTATACTGAATAATTTCAACGGATGAATCGTTCCAATAAAAAGTATCTAATAAAAATAATAATAGAAAATATCTAAATGACCTCGTCTTCATATTATTATAACTTACGGTATTTCTTAATTGTTTAAAACAACCACGCGTTAGATAGACAAAACCGTGCTTGTGGATGAAAAAAGCAAAAATGCGTAGTGACTTTAGGGTATCACTTCCCAGTGGCACCAATGTGGTGCACCAAGGTCCTTATCGAAAATAGTTGCCTTGATCCAGCCGTCGAGGTGTTTTTGGCTGCGTCCTGGCCATACCATCTCGTCAGGGACATTCCCTACCCCTTCCCTGTCGGGTACATCAGCATTCCTCCCATCCGGAAAATTCTGGCGCACCACTTTCTTTCTCGCTCCAAGGTTCTTTACTGAACTCATAAGTCTAACTATATCATTATCGTGTCATTGGACTTTCCATTATGAATTATGTCTAGTGTCGTATTTTTATATTCATTTTATTGAGCAAACTTCACTGAAGCTGTAATTATAATAGTATTAATAATAACGATTGTTATTAAGTCTATTATATAAAGCTATAATACTGATGATGTTTTTTTATGATTCAGAATGTCTCTTCAGTGGCGAAACGCCTATGGAACATTGGGGAGAGGAAATGCAGCCCCAGGCACAGTTCAAAGGGGCCATGGAGGGCCCTCCTCTAATAAATAGACCCATAACTTCAAATTAAAACAATCTAACGCCACGTTTTTAACTCACAAATGTCCTAGGTGGACTCACATTACAACACTTTTTTTGTACAATATCATTTCCCGACTCAAGATGTTCTACAGCTTTGCTCCACTACAAACTGACATTTAAATACACTACAGAAAAGTAAAGGGCTAAATCACAACAAAAAAAATCAAATTAAGAACAATTGTAACACGCTACAGTATTGTTTGGGTCGGGAAATGACATTCCAATGTGAATGGGATTCCTTGCAATCGGTTACTAAAATGCATGCGCCACACTCTATGGCATTAGACCACCCCTACACTTCTCGTCCCCAGGACCCATGACTCGTCGTTGCGCCACTGGGTATACATTAGAGCTACATCTATAATATTACAAAATTGACTTAAACAGATAATGTTATTACCTGATATCTACCGGTCATTAATTGGGATCTAGTCGGTGAACAGATTGGTTGTACGTAGTAGTTTTCCAACTTTACCCCTTCAGCCGCCAATTGATCAAGCACCGGTGTGTCAAATAACGATCCATGATAGCCGACGTCTCTGTAGCCGTGATCGTCTGACAGGATTACAATAACGTTGGGTTTAGTTTTCTTATATTTAGCCTGGATGAGGTGGAGAGCAAAATATAAAATTAGAAAAATAAGTACTCCTCGTGCTGCCATCTTCACAGGTCGAAGTCTCTATCGATAGTGATATACAAGTGAAATGTGTCAGCTTTTTAACAATCAAAACACAATAACCAAATTAAAAAGTCGTACAATACAATCCGGTTAAGCCTACGCCCCTTCAAAGTTTCACGCCAATCAGGAAAGTAAGCACAACTATTTTGTTTCAGTTGCTATCCGCAGAGGGACGGCCTTATGTGCGGAAGGATATTCAGATAAAGTCGATTCGGATATACAGGTACGATGACCAATCGTGATTGCTACGAATTACACCGCAGTAATTTTCCAAATAGGCCTATTCACACCTTTGTTAGGTCTTTTAAATAGCACAATATCCGCTGCATTAAAATATTTTACGTAGTAATTAATTTGTAAACTGCCAGAGGATATTCTGGTAAATTAAACTTTATTCATGAGTTACGTATTTAAAGGTTTACACTGAAGTAACTTACAAATGTCACAAACTTTATATTTAGCCAGCCTTATGATAGTTAGTTGTTTAGGTATCGTCATCAGGTATTGTCATCAATAAACTGTAGGCAACAGCGTATCAAATACAGTATAAATAATAATTCCATTGTCGTTTTACTCCCCAAGCATTGTCTCACGTCATATGTTTGTATGCTTGTCTTTTCCGGTATATTATGTTAAAATTGTTTTACTTGTTTATTTATTCAGCTTTAAGCACTAGGGCCAGGGATATGCCAAACAGTGAACTAAATCACTCTTCAAAAGTGGCAATGGGGCTATATGGACCAGTACACCGGGGCAACCCCTACTCATCTCGAAAGATGTACTGGGTTCTTTAAAGTACACAAGATTGTGTACACTGGGCCTACGGCTTATAGTCCTTATCAGAGAAGACCTTTCCACCTCCAGAGAAC